GTAATATTAACCATTTATAAATTGTTTATATGGTTAATGTACTATATTTTCTTAGTTCACTTAATCTAGTATTCTTATTAGAATTTAATAATATGTATATAGTTGAGGTGCTATTTTACTACAAATTTATAGTTACTGATACGACTTTTTTCTCTGAGTGTATAATGGATATATGTATGCGGCTGCATGATAAAATTCTGTAGACATAGATCGGCATTGAATCGTTCGTTACATGCTGATTCTCGCGGAACGTGCACGAGTGCACACAGAGAGAAAAATGTTTGGTATTTGTAACTGTATGGTACTTATAAAATAGTTGAAATTACCATAAAAATGGTTCAAGTGACTATAATTTTATAGTTATATTTTGGGACAACCATATTTTTTATGATTGTCCCAAAATATAACTATAAAATTATAGTCACTTGAACCATTTTTATGGTAATTTCAACTATTTTATGGTTATAACAACTATAATTATAGTCATTTTAGGTTGCCAATTATAACATTTGTTGCTGGAACTATATATATAGTTACTGTTATTATTATTATAGTAGTAATAATCATAATTATAGTAATATATAATTATAGTTACAAGTACCAAACATTTTTCTCTCTGTGCAGGAACAAAAATTACTTTTTTCATGCATCAAGTAAGTTTTATTGCATGCATAAAATCTACAATATTTTTTTTCTTTTTAATGAAGGTATAATGTATTATCATAATATGTTTTAATGATTATCTGCGTTGATGGTTTATACATTTGGGTTGATTTTTCTCTAGATTTTTATTTAAAAATTTACTATAAATCATAAAATATCATTAGCGAACAATAGTATCATCAATGCCTGGGATCAGTTGTAACATTATAATTATCCCCAAACTTACTTGATTTTATTTTAGTATTGTTTTGTACAACGTTATTTTTCTTCATAGAATTTCATTAACAAGAAAACATTAACAAGAAGACAGATAAGAGAAAAATTATATAAAAGAAGTATCTTTATACAAACAGAGACATTTAAAGAAGTTATGAAGGACCAAATATCCATTTGTGCAGCTGCAAGAAAGAGTATAACTTATGTTGTTGTGTTACATACCTCTGGCAAATATGATACAATTATTCCCCTCTACTGTTATAATTGTTACTATCGTCCCTGGGGATTGGGACGGTTGTAACAAAATTCCTCATAGTCTTTAAACAAACATAACTTTTTTTCTAGTTACATAAAATAATTAAACCAAAGAAAATTTTGTATCTAAAGATACATATTTTTTTAATGTAAGTATCATATTTTAACTGTTATAACACTTCAAAGTCAAAATATTACTTTTGTCCCCGGTCTCCCCTACTCAAGAAGTATACATTGCCTACAAAACGTTAAGAAAGCGCTAAAAAAAGTGTATATAAGTGCTTTTTAGCACTTAGCAAGTACTGCTATGCTATTTGGAAAGACTTAAGTCTATAGGCAACTAATAATAATCATTTATTTATTAGAAGCACTCATACATCAAGAGTAATAAAAAATTAATTTTTTACTATCAGTTGTATTCGTCTTTACATCTTGAGTTATAAAATAAAACTAATATGATAGCAAAACAGTATATAAGTATATAATCAAAGAAAATATTTTTATCAATTTACTTATTTTTTATATAGTTTTTATATAGTTATGAAAAGAGCTTAGGTTTAATGATCATACAATAAAAAAAATTCTTTGAAAAAATTTTTCAAAATCCTGAGTCAAAAAAACCTTATTGACTCCTTCTCCTTTATTTATGCATTATTTAAATCGTAATATCATTGAAACTAATTACATGTTTGTCGAAAAATCGAAGAAAGTATTTAATGTTAAAATAAAATTTCATGATCTCTGCAAAAAATTAATTTATTTTGTAATTATATGCTAATGTACTCAACAAAGTTACTTATTCATATTTACTTTTGTCGATGAAAACATGAAAATTAGAATAAGATATTCGTAGATAAATAAATCAAACTAGTAATATTAATGGCAGATAACGGAAAGACGATAGAAGTGAGAGAGTTAACCGCCAAATTTGCTACGGATATAATCGGAAGCACCGCTTATGGACTTGATGTGAATTCATTCAAAAATCCGAATGCAGAGTTTCGCAAATACGGCAAGATGATATTTCATTATGATACATATCGCAGCTTTGAGATGCTCGCAATATTTTTCCTTCCAACTATAGTTCGTTTGACACGAATAAAAATGTTCGGCAAAGAGCCCACTGATTTTATGCGTAAAGTTTTTTGGGAGACACTAACTCAGCGTATGAAATCTGGTTTGAAGAGGAACGATCTCATCGATATTCTTCTCGAATTAAAAAATAATAATAATAATAATGATCAGGATCTTAAAGATTTCAGTAAGAGAACTAAAATTAACTATTTGTACAAATTTATATAAACATTTTTTTTAATTATGTCTAATAAAAACAAATAGAAATGTGACATCTAATGATAAATTAGATTAACTGATACATTTAATTAATAATTCTGATAACAAAAATTAATTATAACAACTGGAAATCTTTAAAAATTTACAAATTAAGTAAATTGTAGAATTCGATGGTGATGATCTTGTGGCACAAGCAGCCAGTTTCTTCTCAGCTGGTTTTGAAACCTCTTCAACGACTACGACGTTCGCGTTGTATGAACTCGCGATGCAACCTAAAATACAGAACACTCTGCGAAAAGAAATCTTCGAGGCACTTGAGGAATCTAATGGAAAAATTACATACGATATGGTATGCAGCTAATAACAGAAATAAAATCTAAGAGTTTATTCCGTTTGTTATAATTTAAATGAAAAATTACCTTTATGTATAATTTTTTATTACCAGGTATGGTCATTACCATATCTCGATATGGTGATGTCAGAAACATTGAGAATGTACCCGCCATTGGGATATCTAAATCGCATGCCTAATCAGACTTATAAAGTGCCTGAGTTCAATCTTGTAATTGAAAAAGGTACACCGGTTTACATTTCGATGCTTGGCCTACATTATGATCCAAAATATTTCCCCAATCCCAACAAATTCGATCCAGAACGATTCAATGAGGAGAACAAACGTAACAGACCACCGTATGTCTATTTCCCATTTGGAGAAGGTCCACATTCATGTATAGGTAAGAAAACTGATTTTAATATCCTCTTTATTAAAATATCAATAAATTTTTTTCATTTCTTCGTTAATATAATAGTATAATATTATACGGTGCTGTTGTATGTATATTTCGCAGGCAATCGATTCGGGCTCTTGCAAACGAAGCTAACACTACTTAAGGTCTTGAGCAAATGCGAGGTGACACTGTGCAAAGAAACTCCGGTACCAGTAGTAATTGATCCAAGAGGAGCCATGACAGTGCCGTTAAACGGTATATTGCACCTCAATTTCCGAAAAATTAATACTAATGTTATTTAAAATATATAAGAGAATTTTTTATTTTAAACCATAAATGTATAATATATTCCTTTATACTAAATACGTACTTTGATAAGAAACTTGGATAAATATGCGGTATAAGGGACCACCCTCCAATGACCTTGACCTTGACATATGTTATCAAGGTCATGATCCTGAGTGATTTTCAATAGGTTTTACCCGACGCTCATCCTTTGTTAAAAAGTTATTAACAAAAGAAGTTTAACAAAATAACGTCTCATTTCTGCTACAACAAAGCGACTCTCACCCCTCTCCCTCCTTGGGCGCACGACTTCCACGCGAAGCGACTCTCATTCCACCTCCCTCCTGCTTAGGGGCACACAACTTCCATGCGAAGCAACTTGGCGAGATGGGGTGGAACTCGCTTCGTATAGAAAGTCGTGTACCCCCAAGCAGGGAGGGAGGTGGGGTGAGAGTCGCTTCGCGTAGAAGCCGTGCATCCCTAAGCAGGGGGGAAGTGAGGTGAGAGTCGCTTCGCGTGGAAGTCGCGCGCCCCCCAGCAGGGGGAGGTGAGAGTCGCTTCGCGTGAAAAGTTATAAAATATTTTTTAAAGCAGAAAATTTTTGTTATATAGAGTCAAAAAGAAACATCATTTTTCAAATTTTTTTGTTAATAACTTTTTAACGAAGGACGAGCGCCGAGTAAAACCTGTTAGAGGTCACTCAGGGTTATGACCTTGACAACATATATCGAGATTAAGTTCATTAGAAGGTGGCTTATACTGCTCTTATACTGCACATTTACCGAAACTTGTATAACTAAATGTAAAAATTAATAAAAGTAAGTATGTTGTATCACATATTGTATTTTTTTGAGCATTAAATTATTTTTACTAGTAACATAAACCAACGTACGATAGTTTGAAAGAAATTTGTTAATCAATAAAAAATACTTAGTTAATTGTACATTACTTTATTGCAACGCTTTTAACAATTCTTTATTTTTATTATTCTTATTTATATGAAAATTCGAATTATTTTAATTTTTTTAATTGAAATTTTGGATTTCTTTTAACTAAAAATTTTAACTTTTTGACGTTATAAATATTATCTTTCAAAAATTTTTATAAATGAACTAGGACTTATAAATCCATTCATCTTGTACAATGGGACAGATAGTTGCTTGCTCAAGAAAATGAGAAATGAGCACACAAATTATTGCGACACTTAGAACATATACTACTAGAAGAGAAATTGCCTATGCTGGCCTGTATGGATGAAATTAATATCTGTGCAAGAGAAAGGTAGAAAGTCCTGGGAACTCTATAGCTTTCTCTCTCGCACAGAGAGAGGTTTCATGTCCTCTCTCGGCCTCCTATTTCTCTTCCAATAATATATGTTTTAAGTTACAACATAACAGTGTAGGAAGTGTCTTCAAGCTTCAAGAAAATCACATGTATTTCATGCGTAAAAACAGTAGTGCATAAACGATAGTGCATACTTTTTATGAACTCATCTTTTAAACTACACACACAGAATAATTATTTCTAATAAAAATAGTAATTAATTTACAATACCTTGAATTTAAATGTGCTGAATTACGAATCAATTTTACTACACACATAGAATAATTATTTATAATAAAAATAGTAATTAATTTACAATACCTTGAATTTAAATGTGCTGAATTACGAATCAATTTTACTATCATATATTATGTTTCTACTCACAAATAAAATTAACCGATTTAAGAAAAAAGTAAGGTATATAGGTTGACGATATAAGCGAAAAAGGACTTATAAATGTCTTAGGAATATTAAATTTGTGTTTTTATTCGACGTATATGTGTACAAACCTTACTTCAAAAGCGACACAACTCAAAAAATTAAGTTTTCCAGAAAAAAAAGAAAAATCTATTTTTTAACTTAACAGAAAATTTTTGATATTTAATAAATTAATATCGACAAAAAATACCTATATATTTTTATAATAAAGTGTTACTTTCATTTTATTAAATAATTTTTTAAAGTTTTTTTTTAACCATCCTTTTTTAGTTGTGACGATCTATTTTGATAATTTTTTATTTAAATTTTAAATTAAATTAAATCACTTTGGATGATTGGTAGGATAATATTTATACTTAACTTATTTATAGCAATAACTCAAAGATTATTTTTTTAGTTGTGTTACTTTTTAAGGGAGATACCAATATAGGTATGTGTTTTAATTAAACGTTGTTTTCAAAATATTTTCGTTTTATTATCAAAATTTCGATTTGTCATCAGAATCTTAATAGATCGCCAACACAAGTGTATTGAATTAATGATATCACTGACAAGGGAACCTCTCGAGGTGTTAAATTCTGATTTTAATGAAATTTTGTGAACTTGTAGCTTACATAAGGAGATGAATTTAAAAAATATCAGTTGCGGCTAAAAAACGGTTTGAAGAGGTGAAATTACCCTTACGTGTACAACGATTTTCAACTTTTTCCGTTATATCTCGAAAACTGTTTGAGATGTAAAAAAATGTTTTATACAAAAGTTTTACAACAAAATTAACTGTATTCAATCGCGTTTTTAGAATAATTATTTACCAATTTTTTTTCAAAATTTTCAAAAAAAAATTGTTAAATAATTATTCTAAAAAAATATCATTGACGTGAATAAATAGAGGTAATTTTATTGTCAAACTTTTGTATAAAACATTTTTTTATATCTCGAATAGTTTTCGAGTTATAACGAGGAAAGCAGAAAATCGCTTCACACATGAGGCCTAATTTCACCCTTATGTTGGCAGCAATTTTCAGAACTTTTTAAAAAAATTATTATTTTTAAAAATATTTATGATAGATAGATGTAATTTTATTATAAAGCTACTTGTAAGTAAATGTCTATCCTAAGAAAAAGGGTACTGAGGAAACCACTCTAAAAAAAGCGCACCATGCTATCTACCTCATGATGGTGGTGTGGAAATGATAGCATTTTATCATTTTCTTTA